ACCAACAACAACAACATAGTAGTACCTGATGTCAACAGAAAAGGCTAGATCTCGAAGCCTTGGAACCAAATAAGCAGCATCTCTTTCTACTATCGTACTGCCATCAGTCAATAAAAGGTTGATTAAGCTTTGAAATGAGCAGAGTAAACCAATTTGTCTTTTAAGTAAGATAAATCCAGACTTCAAATGAATACTGTCAAACAAAATACTTGAGAACAACAGAAGCGGGTCCAAGACTCTGGTGCAATCTGTCATGATCATGCATGTAGGCTAAACCACTCATAGCACCCTGGAATAGCCTAATGACAAAGTATGCTTTGCGTTTAAATGCTTGCTCTTGCTCAAAAGGATTCCAAGACTTTTCCTCTAGAGAACGGGCTCTGGATATTTTCTCACTAGTCACCTTAGCAAAATCTGCTGCACTATATTTACCATCACCGCGGAAGGCAAGCCACTGTACAGAATAAAGCTATTTCGTTTCAAAAGATACCAAACAGAAAAAGGAAATTGAAAACTCAGATATAGTTTATATGAAATCAGAGACCTGCTCCCCTGTTTTTGTCTCAAATCCACCAAGAAGTAACAGAAGATTCTTACATATACCTTCAGAACTATTCTGTTAAACAGGTGCATAATCAAGATAAATCAGTATAATTCCTTTAACCTTCAGACTAATAAATTGAAATCATCAGAAGAAATACAAAATTTCTTTTCTGCTCAGTTGATACTTATTATGCTACTTCATTTTACCTGGAGTAAAGCATGAGCATTGAGCTCGTTGGCTGCCATCATATCAGCCTCAAGACCACCAGCTCGCTGTCCAGGGTAAACCTTCATAGCCAAAAGTTTAGTAAAGTGAATATAAATAACTGAAATGGTTAGCAACACCATATAGTCTAAGAGCCTAGTTTCTAATTCAGTTTAGATTGCATTTTGTTCTTTCTGATCTTTTGTGTTGAGGCAAATGGGCTAACACTAAATGCAGGCAGAGCAGCTATTTTCTGCCATTTTTCAATGTTGCTTATCTCTCACAATCTGCTATTTGCCACTTACTTGGTGAAATAGGGTCTGGATAAATAAATGATCTCGACAAGCACTAAAGTCTCCACCATCAAGAGTTAATTGGAGATATGAAGAAAGAAAATGACATTCAAAAAACTTTTCACATTGCTTTAGAGAAAATTTGATAGACAAACTCAACATAATTATGCTATGGTACATTAATTCAAAGACAACTCCCTATAAGGACAAGTTATTCAGATACTTTCTTTTATATTTTCAAGGAATGATCAACCCCAGTCCTTACAAGTGACACACAAAGTACACTAATAACTTGTCCCAACAAAGAGTCACTTATGAAGAACTCTACAACTTAAGGTAGATATAAAGCTATGGCTATCAGGAAGAATTTTAAAATAAATATTAAAGACAAAGTTTAATATTAATTGTGTGCTATTCTCACTTTTCTTCTACCATGTGAAAGTATGGATGATGAAAAAACGTATAATGCTTAAAAAAGCTCTTGAATTATTAAAAAAAATTCAAATAAGTCATTTTTTTTATTGCATTCAATCAAACCCATATACTTTTATTTTGGGCCAAATAGACTTTTATAACTAAAGGTAAAAGGTTAACTAATTGTTATTAATTAAAATGCCACCTGTCATGTGGCGCTGACATGAAGGGTAAAAAATGACACATGGCCACATTAGCATACTACATCATCATCCATTATGGCATGTTTGCATGCCACATCAACGTTATGTAACATAAAATGACAAGTGACATTTTGACTAACAACAATTAGTCAAGCATTAATCATAAAGGCTTATTTGGCTTAAAATAAAACTGCAAGGGCTTAATTGAATGCAATAATAAAATAAGGGCTTATTTGAATTTTCTTGAATAGTTATGGAAAAATAGGTGAGGATCGAGGAAAATATATAAATGATTTCACCTTAAATATCACCGGTGTGCCTTTAAATGGACCCTTAGCTATTCTTCCTTCGTAAAGCCTGCAGATGAACTGCCACGGATAGCATCAGCAAGAAGAGGAAAAGGATTTTTGAGTTTCATCAACAATAGCAAACTTTTGTCTAAATATTTGTGTCCATGAACATGCATGTTCAGTAAAAATGCACCTGATTTTTACACTCCCTTCTCCAACATCTTGAACTCTTAATTGTCCCAAATCTCCAGATGAATATTCAACATCTGCCCCTGCCTGAAACCCTGAATAGCTGGAAAAAAAATTCAGACCTTTTTCAGTGTCATCTTTCAAAAGAAATAGTATCAAAAACCAAAATTTAACAAGAAATTAAGAATAACACTTTTCAATTACAGATTCAAAACCCCATTTTGTTGATTATAAAACACAAAAGGGAAAGAAAAAGAAAATTGAATCTTATATATATTCCTTTGCTGCTTCCTAAACCAAGAGCAAAAACAAACTCTGAGTACTGGTTTTTTCAAGGATTCTAACTTCTGGAGGAAATTATTCAAGAATGAAAATCTAAGTTTGGTTACTACCAGACTATCAACATAAAAAAGAACTAAAAAAAACCCTTAAAACCCTTTTCTAGGAACCTGCCATATACATGTACGTGTGCATGCTTCTGAATATGCGTGCACCACAAACAAAAACATCTACTCTAGTGAGGTTCAGGTAACTAATTGATTTGTTCAATCAAAGCACAGCAAGCAGTAACAAGGATAACATTCAAACTTGCCTTTCTTTTACCACATTGTTTGCCAACATTCCTTGGCAAACAACTGGAAAATTAAGAACCAAATGCAACATCCAAGAAACAAAAACCCAAAATTTTCTAATTATACTCACTATTCACAAACCGGAACTTGCCACCTCATCAAGCTTAACATCTATCCTTGAATATTTTTAAAATGTTCGACGAGTTTACTAAGAATGATGCACTGACTTTTATTATTTTCCTACACTTACTTGGCAATTAAATGAAACACAAAATTTAAAATTCTCTATTCATTCGTTTTCTTTCAATTCCTCAGAAATCAAACAGAAACTACTCGCCTTTTGGGTAACGCTTGAGCATTTAACTACCCAAAAAAGTTTAGTAAAAGAAATTAAAACACTAAATATAAACACCCAAATGCCAGGAAATTTCAAAAGATAATGCGCAGTGACTCAAACTTCCTTTTCTTTTTCATATATTTCCCCGGGAACCAAAAAAAGGATAGGAAAACAAAACCCGATTACCTAGTAACATTCATGAACCCGTAGCTACCAATTAGTCGGCCCACCTCGAATGAGTCAGGGCTGGTAATGAGACTCGCTCTACAAAGTCGACTCGACCGAGTTCGACTACTCACGCAGCAGCTCACTCGCGGTTTTTTTGAAAAGAGAAAGATGGGCTTTCGAGAAAGAGAAGAAAGCAAAGAGCAAGAAGAAGAGAAGCAATTGGATGTAGTAAGGAGCATGGTTGGTTTTCGTGGTGAGCTCAGTCAGAGCTTGCTCTTTTTCTTTTGTGTACCTGAATATGGAAATTTGTAATTAAAAAATAAATTTTATGGATATGGAAGGAAATGGCTGGCGGCAAAGGATAAGATTTATTTTTTCCTGAGAAAGAAATTAATGCATCTGCTTAAATTATTTTAAAATTTGATTTTTTTTAATTACCTTATGAGATCTCTTAATTAAATAATTACGTCTAAATATTTGATTTAATATGAAATGTGTTTATCTTTTACATAAAGAGTTACAAATCCTTTTTTTAATTAGAAAAATCTCATAATTGGATTAACGAAAATTTTATTTTTATTTTAAAATATCAAATATACATTAGTATAATACAAATAATAATGCTCATTTAAATAAATTTTTCTTTTATTTTTATTTTTAAATATAAAAAATAAAATATAAATGATACAGTGTAAAAGTGATGTTTAATTTTTAATTAGAGTAGATAAAAGTGAAATATCAATTTCTTCAACATCTTGAGTAGTTAAATTCATCTTTTTGTGTGAATTTTTCTATGCAGCTTCTCAATCTTAGTTATTATTTATTTTTAAATCAAAATTTAAGTCATTTAAAAGACTAAATCAATCTTATTTATAACATATAAATGAGTCAATTTTGAAATTAATGAAATTCACTAAAAAATTATATAAAGTACAAAGAAAGCTAGAAATTATCTTAAAAACATATTTTTAAATAGCTCAATATCCATGCATCGAAAATACATGAAAAAATAATTTTAGCATCAAATATTGAACCAAATTATTAGATGTAAATTTTTTTTATATTTTAAGAAAATTATTATAATTTTCACTTATCTCTTTGTAAAAAAAAAAAGATAAAAAACTTTGAGGATAGTGTTATTATCTTCTTTTCTTTTTTTTTTTTTGAAATCAATGAAATTACACGAAAATTTTAGTATTAAATGATTCTCATTTATTGGTACAATTACAGAAAAAATAAAATAATGAAAAACAAAAGAAAAGGGAATGATTATCTTTTCCTAATCTTATCCTATCTTATAGTTATTATTTTCTTGTCATATTAACAAAAAATATAGTATAAAATTTGGAAAACTACTTGAATTCACTAAAGTATAATCCACCGAAAAAAAAAAAGGTTATAAAGGTGTCATAAATTTTCTGTGTATTTTTTTATGCAAAAATTTCTATGCATTTAAGAATTGTTATTGGTGGTAAAATTATTGAACTTCGCAAAAAAATATTTTATGGCTGTTACATGTTCATTTAAATTATTAATTTTTTTAATTATTAACATAATTAATTTGTGAAATTTAAAAATTATATTATCTTATACACCAAGAAGTGGGTTTTAAAAAATTTACAAACAAATTTATTACGTTTTCATTTAAAAATATATTTTATATATTGATGATAGAGTTTTTAAAATTTATAGACCAAATTAGAAGACTGTCCCATGTCTGCCAAAGTATATTTAAAATAATTTAAAATTTTTATAATAATTAGTCAATTTTTAATTATAATATTTATTTAATTCATAATAAAAATATAAAATTTTGTTTAAATATAATAAAAAATAAAAAATTATTAAAATTTTATAAAATAATTTAAGGATTTATTTCACCATGGTTAAATAAAAATACTAATAGTAACACATAAGTTATCATGTTAATTGTAAGGCTTAAAAAAAAAAGAAAGGAAAGTTGTTGCTAGTATATGGTTTTACAAATTGCTACGTGTCAGTCGATCTCCTATTTCTCTCTCTTTCCCTTTCTAGTATTTCCTAACAAGATATTTTAAGATTAAAAGACCTATCTAGTTTTTATTATTTTTTAATTTTATTTTAATTTAATATTTATATTCAAAATCAAAAAATTTAATTTATTAATTTAAAAAAAATTACTTTAATCTACCTAATGATATTTAATTTTATCATTAAAAAGGATAACATCAATATTAACGTAGCACATTTTGATGATGTGGCATGTCACGTGGCACTAATGTAATAATATGATAATATCATATGGTATTAATACGATAATATTGCACTGACATACTGACATATTATTGTCACATGATAAATTAAAAAAAATTTTAAAATTTTTTTTGTCACATCATAGAGATTAAATTAAAAAATATATATAATATAGGTATTAAATTAAATAAAATTTAGATATTGAAGGATAAAATTTAAAAAATATAAATATTTAAGTAAATCATTGATGCACTTATTAATAAGTCAAATATTTAAGTGTAAAAGATTTATGGTATTAAAAAATATATATAAATATTTTATTACTTGATTATTTGATTTTAGAATATGTATATTAATTTTTTATATAAAAATTAAGTTTAAATTTTTCATCTATAAAAATATTTTAAAAAATTTTATATCTATAGTTAAATTTAGATAAATCACTTGCATTACGTTAAAATAAAATAATATAAAATAATTAAATATTTTTTTATTTATAATAATATAAAAATTTAAAATTATTTAACTTTAGATATAAAAATTTTAAAATTTTTTTATAGAAGAAAAATTTAAACTTAATTTTATAAAAAATTTAAATTAATGTACATATTTTAAAATTAAATAATCAAGTAAGAAAATATTTATATATATTTTTTAATACCATAAATATTTATACTTAAATATTTAACTTATTAATAACTATATCAATAATTTACTTAAAGATTTATATTTTTTAAATATTTTTTAATTTTAATCTTTCAACATTTTAATTTTGTTCAATTTAATTTCTGTATTATATTTTTTTTCAATTTAATCCTATAACGTGATAAATTTTTTTAAAAATAATTTTTTAATTTATTAAATAACGTTGATATGTCAATGTCAAATCAGTATTATCACGTCATTATATTAATATCATATAACATTATTATATCATTATGTCGATATTACATGATATGTCAAATTATCATCGTAACATCAAATCATCAAAATGTATCACATCAACATTAATATTATCCCGTTAATAAAAAAATTGAATATTGTTAGAAAAAAATTAAATTAAAATTTTTTAAAATTAAAAAATTAAATTACTTAGATTTAAAATATAAAAATTAAAAAATATAAGGATTAAATTGAAGGACTTATAAAAGAAAAAAAAAAAGGTGTTGCTAGCATATGGTATTACAAACTGCTACGTGTCAGTCCGTCTCCTGTTTCTCTCTCTTGCCTTTTCTGCTCTTTCCAAACAAAATATTCAATCAAAAGCAGCCTAAACCCTTCCCATGTACTCAAAAACATTACTCTTTCTCTCCCCATACTTCCCTCACTCTCTCCCATGCCGTGCCCTACTTGCTCTTCCTCTCTCTCTCTAGAAAATCTAGCTCTTCCTTCTTTTCTCTCATGGCAAATCCCATCACTTTCTGAATCCTAAATTCAATATTTGCGAATACCCGGTTCCTTTTTTCTGCTTCTGCTTAGTATTATTAAAAGCCCAATGGATTCTCTTCATGATTCAATATCGGCGGCCAACGCGGCGGCTGCAACGAACGGAAATACGGTGCCGCCGTTTCTGAGCAAAACCTACGATATGGTGGATGATCCATCCACCAACTCAGTCGTGTCTTGGAGCAGTGGCAACAACAGTTTCGTTGTCTGGAAAGTGCCGGAGTTTGCAAGGGACCTTTTACCGAAGTACTTTAAGCACAATAATTTCTCCAGCTTTGTCAGACAGCTCAATACTTATGTGGGTATTTCTTTGTTTTAAGTTTATTTGTTTTGTTTTTTTCTATATTTTAAAGATCGCGATTTTTTATACATATGCAGGCTCATTGAGCCTTAGCTTTAGGTTATAGAAAGTGATGAGACATCGCGCTTAGAATTCGTATCTAAGATTTCTAAGACGTGTTTCCTTGAGGCGGACTGCGATTTTGTTGTTTGAAGGGGTTATTGATTTATTTGTCTTTTGAGGGTTTAGTTTATTGTGTTTGGATTTTTTGGAATATTTAGATTGTTTGGAAATTTGGGTTGTTCCTATATTGCCTTTTTCCAAAAAGAAAAAAAAAAAGATGAGATTGATGTTAACTGTGAATATTTTTAAGTTAGTAATGGAGTTAGCATTGGAGGAGGGATTTTAGAACCGATATGAGTGTTGGATCATAAATTTTTAGTATAGTTGTGGGGTAAGAAGAATTGGATGGAACATGGGGGTTGCTTGAATGTGGATATTGATATGTTAAAAAATGGGAATTGGGAATTGCTGCTGGAATATGCTGGTTATTTTTTTGAATAACACAAACTTGAATTCGTTTAGTGCTTTTGGAAATTGGATAATTAAGTAGCTCTTAGCTGTTGGAGTTCCTCTTATTATATAGGATTTTCAATGGCATGTGGATGATTGGTTGAAGAGCGTTTTCCCTATAATATAAATGTGGAAAAATTGAGATGAAATATGAAAAGTAAAACGTTGAATGTTTGGTATGTGATCTGGGGTTCTGGTTGAATGTTTATAAAGTTCAGGCAGTAGGTTTCAAAGAGCTGATAAACTCTCTTCACCTAGCTATCTGTTAGGCTAAATTTGGGAATTTGTAATGGTGTAGCTGCAAGAATTGACTTGTAATGCTGCTATGGAGGTTTTGTTAGTTGGTTGAATGTATGATAATACATATTCCTATAGCATGCTTTGACTTGTTGAAAGACTTTTCATTAAGAGATTTGGTATGTGTTAAGTATTTACTTCTCTGTACAATTTTCAGATACAGGTATCCTCTCCATGTGTCTTACCCAGAAACCTTATTTTGAATTTTTCACTTAAATTCTTATTGCCATCCTTTGTTCCTCCTCCTTTTCTTTGTTGAGCCTCCAAGAGAAAATAATTGCATGTAGCTTATTTAATTGTTGTAACTTCAGAAAAATCTTAGTTTAGTCAATTAAACCAACAACATGATGTATTAAACAAATAGTGTGATATTACTGGAGATTGATTGACAAACTTTATTTATCTAGTCTTCTTGTTATTTGTATGACACATATCAGTTCTCAGTTTACTTTCAGGAAATTCATTAATCAATGGTATAGACCTCAACTCACACCCTAAACCTGCTTTACCCTGCAGTCAAAAGTGTTTGCTAACATTTCTCTGTGCTAGGATTGTAGTTTCTTCATAGAAAAACCGTTGTTCTAAGCAGAACAGTTATCAATATCAAAACTTTTGTATCCTAAGTTGAACTACGAACCTAATTTATCTATTCCAAATTCATAAAACTGTAAAAACAATTTTTTAAGCTGTAGTGACGTGTCTCACATGGTAGGCAGCATTGATGAATCTGTCAAAGTATTACTAATTCTATTTTAAAGAATACTGTTTCATACGAAGTTAAATAAATATAACGTGGTTCCTGCCTGTGACTTTATGCTAAACCTTTGTTTTGTGTTATAGTTGGTTAAGAACAATAAATGGTTTCAACAATCTAGTTTAGATGATACCTCTGAACTATGTACTGACTTGAGAGAACTGCAGCTTGGGTTTGAGAAAAAAAAAAACCTGATTTATGAATAAGGTTGGTCCAAAGTCCAGGCAAAAGCAAATAAAGATCTTGGCCTACTCCCATGCCTTGCCCTTTTGAGCATCTGTTGTTTTATTTTGTGAAGTAGGATCATATATCTTGCGACCTTGTTAATCCTCCCACTTTGTGTATCCTCTTCTAGAAGAGAACGAGATTCTGTCCATGTCTCTCCTTCTATCTCTCTTTGCTTCTCTAGTGTTCATTATATTCTTAAAATACTTCAAATATGGTTACATTTAGCAGTTGTTTGAGTTGGTTGTGACTAATGTACATAGCATTACTAAATTGAATGCACTGAGCTTGTTCCTATCTACCTTATTGCCAGGTGTGATGCAAAGTCTAGTTTTTATGCTGTTCGAATTTCTTAGATGCAGGAATTCTGCAGTAGTTGCTAGCTTGATTTTGTATGCAGCTATATTTTATTCTATAATGTCCCATCAAAAATACTACTTATTAAATGGTACTACTTATTGCCATTTCTTGCCTACTAGTCTTTCCTAGAAACATGTTTATGCTCTCATATCAGTAGCTGAAATGTGTAGTGCTATTGTTCCATGTGTGTTATTTGTATTGATATCATGTTTCTAAAACAAATTCTAAATGCCTTACTGATGTTTTTCATCTAAAATACTGTAAAGTCTGGAGATATATTTTACATTCCGTGATATTTCCTGTAGTTGATCTTTGATTTGTTTGTTCTTGCCATTCTTGATCTAACTACATGTGTTTAATTAACAAATGAAGTCCAGAGGAAGGCCAGCATAAGCTAACAATTTTGTCGTGAGGTTTTTCATAGTAAGATACATATTCTGAGGATTAGCTAAATTGACAATTCAATTTCTGATTTTTATGTATTGGATTTTCTTCTTTAGACTTTTTTTTTTGGCCAAGTTCTTCTGACTTAAAATATATTTGTAACCAACAAGTGAACGAAAGCATAATGGAGAGGGTAATATATCTAAGCCGCTGCCATGGATTGTAGTTTGAAATTTATTCATTGGAGAGGCTGGATGTTATAGATTGAAGTTTCTGACCTATTTTTTTGGCTTTATCTGAAGAACTCATCGAATTGTAATTGTGTTTGTTATCTGCAGGTTTAAGTATATGCTTGTAATTACTAATTGATTGTGGTCAGGCATTGGGATTCAACCAAGACAGATGACATGTGATTCAATTAGATATTAATCTTCAATCCTCTTTACACATATGTGGGCTTGCTACATTCTGTTTGGCAAATATATATGATAACTAGTGTCGTTGATTATCATAATTTTTTTCCTTTAGGGTTTTAGGAAAGTTGACCCTGACCGCTGGGAATTTGCTAATGAGGGATTTTTAAGAGGTCAGAAACATCTCTTGAAAACTATCAGCAGGCGAAAACCTGCTAATGTCCACAATAATCAACAACCTCAAGTTCAGAGCTCATCAGTTGGAGCTTGCGTTGAGGTAGGGAAGTTTGGGCTCGAAGAGGAGGTTGAAAGGCTTAAGAGGGACAAGAATGTTCTCATGCAGGAACTTGTTAGGTTGAGGCAGCAGCAACAAACGACAGATAACCAGTTGCAAGCTGTTGGCCAGCGTGTACAAGTGATGGAGCAGAGGCAGCAGCAAATGATGTCTTTTCTTGCAAAGGCCATGCAAAGTCCAGGTTTCTTAAGCCAGCTTGTACAGCAGCAGAATGAAAGCAACAGGCGCCTTACTGGGGGAAACAAAAAAAGGAGACTCCCTAGGCAGGATGAAGAAAATTTAACTGGTGAACATGGTGCCATATCTCCTAATGGACAGATTGTAAAGTTCCAGCCTTCGTTGAATGAGGCGGCAAAGGCAATGCTGCATCAGATATTGAAGATGAACACATCATCTAGGCTGGAATCTTCAATGAATTGCCCTGGTGCTTTCATGATTGATGGTGTTCCTCCTTCTAATGCATTAGACAGTGGGAGCTCCTCAAGTCGGATCTCTGGAGTGACACTTTCTGAAGTCCCACCAGCTTCTGGGCAGTCTTATCTACAAGCAGAATCAGGTTTTCCTGACACTTGTCCATCTACTGCCTCTCATTTAACAACTGAGCATACTAAAGTGGATCAAATTTCAGAGATAAATGTGCATGAATCACATAAAGATGCAGCTTTTCCAAACTTTCCTCAAATGCAAGGAATTGTGCCTGATAACACTGTTGGATTTACAGATGCAAGTTTGGCAGGGTCCGAGAGAGGGAATGCTGAATATGTTGATCAAATGTCAGCTGGTTTGAATGGTGGAATGCCTGTTCAGACTGATGATTTTTCTACCGATCAAGATATGGATATCTTGCTGGAAGGAACCCCTAAGCTTCCAGCCATTAATGATGTTTTCTGGGAACAGTTTCTTACAACAAGCCCACTCACTGAGGACACAGATGAAATTACCTCGAGTTCACTGGAAAATGGGGCAAACACAGAACAGGAATCACTGCTAGTGCAGGAGAATGGATGGGATAAGATTCCACATATGAATCATCTTACTGAGCAAATGGGCCTTCTTACATCAGATAGCAGGAGGGCGTGATGTCTTACAAATTGTACATATAAGTTTCTTGCTGTTATAAGGTAAACTTTTTAATGTTTATTCACTATACTAAGCTTGATGAGCAGGAGTGCTATCCTCCAAAGATAACAAAGTCAGCTGATAATTAGGGTACTCTGTACTGACATAGTACTAATCAATTTCTTTTTTGGAAAAGCAGCATAGTACTAATCATAGCAACCATTTCTGTTTTCTTTTTGGTCATCATTGTGATAAATATTTAATAATTATTAAGAATGTAGAGATGACGTATTGAGGTTTGGTTCCAATTCATTTAATGTCATTTTTTAGAATTGCTTTGATGACATAAAAGGACATTATTAACATGTTTATGTTTATTTTACCAATTCCAAATTGATAGATGGCAAGAAAATTCTATTTCTTTCAAAGTTTGATAATTCCTACTCTTTTATTCTTACTGCACAGACAACTGGCTTGTTCAGAATCCTTCTCTTAAGGCTGTTGATATTTATTGCTATTTTGAATTGGCTGTCAGCACAATGTAAGAGAACCTATATCATTTTTGAGTTTTCATATTTCTATGGTTTTTGCAGAGGTTGATGATCCGTGATGCTGGGCGGAAAAAGCTTTTGTTCAAAGAGAAACTTTTGTTGTTATTGGAGTTACTTACATGTTATATGTACTAGTAACATAAAATGCATTTGAAATGGTTATCCAAAGTAACATTAATAGTACATATGTATGATGCTTCTCTTCTATATTATCTGAGAAATAAGTCCTGCTTCTCAACGCCTTGGATGAATCTCAGGAGCAAGATACACGCTTGAAATGTGATGCAGAAAAAATCGTTGACTCTTTCTCCCTTTTCCCTGCTATAGTTACAAATGTTTGCTTAGAATGCTTTCAGCTGTAAATTCAAATGAGATTACATTAACTATAGCCAATCTTCTATCTGTTCCCAAAGCATGTTTGATAGGCCACTCTATGTCAGGATATAAAGTATAAACGACCTTGCTCTAGACCTTATGACTTTTAACACCCCTCCATGATAAAATGTGGAGAGGGGCAAGGTCTCTGGTTTTAGCACCTTGAATAACCTGATCATTGCGCTTACCGGGAAGGAAAGTTTTGTGAAGAAAGAGATGATAGAATCCCAGTATATTTGATATGAATTCATAGTTGTAAGAGAGCCCATGTGGATGATTAACAAGGACATGGCGAAATGAGCAGTAATGGAGGTAAGTTTGTTGAAAAAGATGAGCAGCGAAGCAGGTGGTGAAATGGTAAGGACGATCACCTACTTTTGTGATTGTTTTATGGGTAGTAGCAGGGGTGGTGCATCCTTTTCGAAGCAACTTGGTCTGTGCATATGAAGAGTTTCTACGCTTGGGTTGAAAAGTATGTAGCACCCAAAACATTGATTCAGATCATGAAAACCAACTTTATGCCAATAATAATTACAAACAATGGAAGATGTAAAAATTTTTTAAGATATATTAAAGATGGAAGGGGTGGAGAGCAATCTATATACATGATTTGCTGTAGAGCTAAGGGCCACCAGGGAGGATTCGGCGGAGGCTCTTACCACAGCATTAAAACAATACTTGTATAAATTACATGGCTGTATAATTTCTGATCTTAATACCACCAGAATGAGTTGGTTGCACTGCTGCATACAACTTTATGCTTTGCTGCTTAAGCCACGACAACTATGATGAAAATGAGGAGAATGATCCCAAAGATTAACACCAGCAAACACCTCTGCATATAAAAGTCATTAGGTTAATCATTTTTTTAATGTAACAGACTTATTCTTCTTAACCAAAATTGATAAGAGTAAAAATAACTTCATGTGCGTAATTGAATAAGATTGGGAATGGAAGAATTATTTTATGTGAAATAACTACAATTATGACTAAAAATTGGTGAAATAAATTATCTCAATGGAGTTACCAACAAAATTAACATGAAGGGAGGATTTAGCTTATAAGATTGTTAATTTTATTCATACATTCAGTTAAATTTGTTTTGTGAAAGAAACCAAGAACCTTTCAAGGAAATGGAACAAATGTTATTCCAATTTTTTTTTTAAAAAAAAAATTTAATATCTATTAATACATGCTCTGCTAGGTAACAGATGCCAAAAAGGACGTCAACAACCACCGCGTCAATGATGATTGGTAACGACAAGGGTGTAGAGTAACTATTCATTGAGATCTGACCAAGAAAATGAGATGATAATTGATGATCATGTCTTTAATAGCATTTGTAAATGGAGACCAACATAAACAGTGCTGTTTAGACAATACAATAAATTTTAAACTTAATGGCAATTTAGGAACCTAGCGCCCATCAAGATTATTGTGTTGCTTGAGTTAAAGACTTTCAAGTAATGTAATGATTAGCTACCAACTAACTCCCATAAATTATGCCAATAAATCAAAATATCAGCAGAATTAAGCAGGAAAAAATAGTTTTATGTGAAACAAGGGAAAAAGATTCAGATAAATCAAACTTACTGTAGAAGAATTTGCTCGTTGGATCTTGGATGCTCTTTTAAGATGTGAAGTAGCTTGCACAGTTGCAGAATGGGAATTCTCAATGTTGGAACCAATGTCATCTGCAAGGAAAAAACATTCAACATCTTGCCATATTCAAAGCCAAAGCTTTGGAGAAACTTGAGCAAGAAAGTGAGATATTCCAACAGAAGTATAGAGCGGACACAAGTCTTACCAATCATGGCTCCTTGCTCATGGACTAAAACTGATATATCTTTAAAAATCTCATTCACCTCACTAATCTGTTGCTGAACTTCTTTGATCCCCTGATCTCTTTCTTCAATAATAGCTTCATTAAATGTGATTTCATTGTCCAACAGTACAACTTCTTGTCTGTTAACAGAAAATAATTTGACAATTATAATCATTTACAGGAAAATGGAATTAAGTACTTTGGAATGCAGGCCAATGATATATCCATCTCTCTATGGAAACTGAAGCAAGTCAATTAATGAAAAATTAAAAGGAAAAGAAACAAGAGAAAACAGCTTTGCCCTGTGAATGCTCACTGTAACAGCCAAGTATGCATATCGCATCTCCAAAAACAAAGAACATATTTGAAACTAAGGCTTTCCCCATTTAAAGCGGCAAAGAAGGATACAGTAGTCCAGGGCTATTGTTTTGGCCTAAGTGACTCAAAAAACCACCAAATCAAATCTCATAATATCAACTTTTCAAGCAACCATAATTAGGTTGATCAGTTCTGGAAGTGATAATTTACTCTTTAGGATGGGAAAGAAGCGGAAATATAATATTATATCTAAATGATTCTGGAATTCCAAACTCTCAACCAGATTTCCTCGAATAAGTACCAGCATCATCAGTCACAAATTTAGCAGAAGCATCTCTTCCATTTATCAAAATATTCTACAATATAAGCTACTTTAGAGAAGATAAAAAGTTGCCTCCTCAAAAGACTGAATACTGTAGGTAAAGAAGATAACATTTTTGCAAGCAAGAAGTGTTAAATCAATTAAACTGAACAATAAACATGGATCAAGTCATGAAAAAACTCGAGATTCCTGACCACACTAACAAAAAATTGATTAACTTATATTTAGAAAGCTCGTGCATGTATAAGTAATAGCTTCACAAAAGTAGGTTATATCATTAAAATACCATGTTAAAAACTGCTCACCTTTTTGATACCAGAAGAGTTTGCCGTTCTAGACTCTTGGATGAATTTACCTCCATCTCATGGGGAGCATAACTTCACATGTTTAATACAAGATGTAAGATAAAGCACAACAATCATTCACAAAAAATAATAGCTTAACTGCAATTAAATTATAGACAGTATGTTAATCCCTGTAGCGACTAAAAGCAGCTAAAGAAGCCTGCATGATACTAAAAGTAATACCAACACCTCCTGTGAGTCACCATAGTACATTCCGACTTTGATTTTTGAATTCTTCAAGAACAATAGAAAGATCACAAAGAAAAGTTAATAGAAACTGTCTTAACTCATTCTTCAGTATCCATTTCAATTTTAGATTTTCTCCACTAATATTGCGGAGTTCTCAAACTCCACAATAGGTTTTGCTTTTTCATGTTTTATTCTTACTAGATGTGTTTAAAATGTAATATAGAAACCCATAAAGGTTAGTTAACTTTTCACTCCTTAAAAGAAGGGAACAGGAGATATTTGTACCAGACTCAACCAACCTACAATCACATTGAACATGCACATATGCACAGGTGTACATTGGCAAATTCACACATGCATCTTCTTATCTACATATCTACAGAGTATGCGTATGTATGCAGGTGTTGCGGTGTGCACATAAGTGTAATTCCAGTGCTAGTAAAAATTACCTGAGAGGAACAACTTCTTTGGAAACCAAAGGAGCATATGCTGTCTCCTTCTCGGCCGCAAGCCTTTGAGCCTTTTGAAGATCCTTAAGAGCTGACTGAAAATCTTTCGCAAGCTTAGCATCGGCGATCTTCTTTAAGGGCTGCAGTTTAAGGGAAAAATTGTCAGGTGACTAAATACAAACCATGACCTTCCTCCTAAAACAAGAAATATAATGCCACTATTCTTATCAAGGCCAAGAATAGAAAAGAGGAGTAAACAATTTCCAAAAACCAATTTAGTCGAAAGATGGGAGGATAAAAGCATAAGTAGATAAACAAGGAAAAACCAACAAGTAAATCAGCATCATGAAGGGCATGCATTCCACTTACCAAAGAACTCATGAGAGGTTAAACACAATCAAGTGGCTTACACCCCCAAATAGGACTTAATTGCATCCTCACACCATAATTTTTTTCACTCACATATTACACAGTTCTTCATTTTTGGGAAAGGTGAAAAATCAAAACATAAAGCAGATACACTTACACTAACTTCTGCATTCTGATCAGCTTCACTTGCTTCCCTGAGTTTAGCTGAAGTCTCTTTAACCAACTGCCCTATATGTAGCCTTGTCTTATGCCTGCCAAGGGAGAAAGTCAGATATAAGGACCAAAGAAGAGCAAAGTCATTTCTTTTATACATGTCATCTTGAGCTATCCAATAAAAAGTAGTCCTCTCTTATCCCATAAATCCCAGCTCCTCCATTTCAAACCTGAGACCTCTAAACTATAGTCTCAAGTTGTGCTGGCGAGGACATTAAGGGCAACATAGTGATTAACCAGGCAACCATTCATTTATTCTACCAAACCTCAAGGAATAAAACCATAGAAAAACAAGGCCAATTATTTGTTCTGCATATATATCTATCAAAATTACTCCTAAATAATAAAAGTTGAAAAAATTCCAGAAAGGCCCAAATTATGTTCTCTAATTCAATTTTTAAATAAGCTTAAAACAAATCCAAGAGTAAAAATGCATGTTTGCCCCCCAGAATTTCATATTGGTCAATGCCCCTAAAACAGTAATTCAAATTAAAAATTTTCCACAATAGAGTAGAAAAAATCCCCATCTTGTAATTTACAAGAAAAAATAAAAACACCCAAAAACTTAGAAAACTGTTAAAGTAAATTACTTATTAGATCAGAAAAGTTGAAAAATTCCAGAAGGAAGGTCCAAACTTATGTTCTTTAATATAATTTTGAAAATAAGCTAAAAAGAAAAGCAAGAGTCAAATACGTTTACATGGTAAATTTGAGTTTTTATAACCACAAAAAAAGGCCTAAAATAGCTAATTATTTTCAAATTTCCACAACAGATAAAAAATGAAAAAACCCATCTTCTGATTTACAAGAAATAATGGGGAAAACAAATTAAAA